TTTTATTTTTAAAAAGATATTTATTTATTTATTTGAGAGAGAGAGCGTGCACAGGCGTGGGTGGGGGAGGGGCAGAACATCGGATTTTACATCAATAGTTGACACTCAGTCCTTCATTCCAGAACAGAGGATGGCCACCTTCCACGTAGTTAGCCCTGTGCTACGTGCTAAGGCTGTAAGAACTTAGATCTGAAAAAACTAGGATCCCACCTAGAAATTTACCACAGTGCCTAAGATTGACCTTGTTCAGGAAAGTTTATGGTACTAACATCAATTTTCTTTTTCAGGCTTTAAGAAAACATTGAAATACCGCTTCTCGGCCTTTTGGCTAAGATCAAGTGTAGTATCTGTTCTTATCAGTTTAAGAAAACATTGAAATATATGGGTAGAGATAAATACCTCCTGATTCCTCTGAGTAGATTTCTTTGAGGTTTTGATATGTCTTCATGTATATATTTCTTAGTCTGATTATCTGCTTTCCATTTGTTTATTTGCAACAGCTATTTTGGAGATTTTCATAGTATTTTAATTAGAAAATGCATTTTATAGGAAGCTTCTCATGAATCTATGTAGGAAACTAGATTTATTCCCAAACAAAATTCTCAGTAGTACATTCACAATTTTCTTCCGGAGTTTTCAGCTTTGCATTCTGTCTGGGAGGCAGATGTTAAGGTACATCCACACACAAGTCCGAGTAGCATAATTTCTTCCATCATTTTGTTCAAGTTTCTCTAAATATATCTGCCAGAATTCACTGAACACTAACCTCTGGGACTTGAAAACAAAGAAGGAAGAAAGAAAGAAAAAGACTTCTTTTTGTTTCCAAAGCTGTATTGGGCTTTTATTTAGTTGAGGTTTGAGACCTAAGTGACACTTCCCTAGTATGTGTATGCAAGTGATTTGAATGAGAACAAAGAAACTGATGTTGGTGGAGGTGCTTTGACACAAATCCCCAGCCTTTCATATTTAAAATGTTACCCAAACCCACAGGAAAGAGATTGGATCCAATGTTATGTGTAAGCATTTTTTTTAGTTTGGTTAGTTTCAGTTCCAGTGGAAGAAGACTGTGTGTGTGTGTGTGTGTGTGAGAGAGAGAGAGAGAGAGAGAGAGCACGAGAGAGATAGTAAATGCTTAATATTGGTAGTGGAAAAAAATACAAAAGTTGATAATAAAAGCAAGCATCTCAATGTTCTGTTTGAAATCTGGAAGAGAAGGTAAAGTGAAACAGATGGGTCATTAGGCTTTGAGGCTGTGACATTTGGAAGCCAGAGTTACATTTTCCTTGAAACTGTGAATAAACAGCTTGGAAATAGTCTATGATGTTCTTTTCTGATACTGGTTTTATTCCATTTGACTCAGGGCATTGAAAAGCAAGTGTTAGTTAAATTGTCTTGCTGTAATTATTATGCAGGAATGTAGCGCTTTTTAAATATTCTGACTTCCTATATTCGATTTTAGTGTAACTCTGACTTAGGCTTATGTGAGGCCCATTTAAAGGCCAGGAATCTTTCTGAGGTTGTTATTATAAGACTACCCTCTTGGTTTAAGTTTTATCTCATAGAATAATATTCATGACATGTGTTTACACAACTGCATAGCTTCTTGGATCTAGAAGGAACTATAGCAATATGCATATAAATGAAGAGCAAACAAATGAGAAAAGGCAAAGGCTCTTTATTCAGAGCTCGCTATAGCAAGGCAGTTAGCCACCATCACTTACAATAGCAGAGATTTGAAGGCAGGGAGAAGAGTGAGAAAGTTCTGTGGGAAATGGGCTAGACTTCAGATATGTCCCAAATGGAGGCTATTGGCATGGGGAGGCTGCAAGCAAGGCCAACCAGGAAGGCGTCCTATGTGATTGGATAGGGATGCAGATTTGATTCTCTCTGGTGGTCCTACTCTGGAAGCAGGGGCAAAATTCGGGAAGCTGTCAGTTATTAATTAAATCCTGGCTGCTTTGAGCCAACTGTTAGATTATTGTTTGGCTACCTGGACTGGTTATTAGAGATAGTAGTCTGACTTCCTATAAGTCTGACTTAAGGGAAGTAGATTGGATTTCTGGGCTCATTACTGTAGATAATGGGTTGGAGTTCTATTTTTATAAGTGGCCTGGCAATTTTCCATTTGTGTTTCAATCTCTCAGTGATTATCTAGATCCTGATGTAGAAAGATTAAATAAATTCATAAAGGACAAATGGCTACAGTTTATTTAAATTAATAGTATCTTTTACATGTGTGGCACTACTTAGTTTCAAAAATATTTTAAAATCTAGAATATCATTAGATCCTTCCAATTACATTGGAGAGGTTAGACCAGCCTGCTATTATCTCTACTTTGTAGTTAAGAAAAAATGAGGCTCCAAGAGGAGAACCCAAGTGCTCAGTGATGTGGATTACCAGCCCATGACCATGTCAGGCCTGCAAAGCTGGGCTACTCAGATGATCTCACCTAGGGCTTCTGACAATATTACAAACCTTTTCTGTCTCTGCACCACAGATTCAGGTACTGGGGAGCCAAAGTGGGGCATTTGTATTCTCACGCTGCTGCAAGTTGATGAGTATTTGAACCTAAATATAAAGAAAGCAAAGTACAGATTCTCTGAACCATTTCTGTGATTTTTTTTTTCACTGCAGTCTTTCCCAATAATTCCTCATTTGAATGAAACTTTCAACTTGGTGAATCTTACAACCTGTGATTGTTAGATAATCAGATTTTTGAAAATACTATTAGCTTCATGTCACTTGGATACATTTATAACACTTGCTTCATTCTCTTATTCCATTAGGAACACTGTATTTCCTACACACATCAGAAAGATGCCTGAGGAGTTGAGAAAACTACTAAATAAAAAAAATTAATTAAATACCTATTGAGCAGTATGCAAGGTGCTAAAGACATCAATGGGAAAAAAAACAAAAACAAAACAAAACAAAAAAAAAAACAAAACTTAGTCCCTGCTTCCTAGAACTCAGGGCCTTTTGAGAAGAACAGATACATTGAAAGATGATATAAAACATCAATACAGAGATGACCAAATCCCAGCAAGAGGTGGGGATATGAGTGGAGGAGGCTTCGGAGGATACTTAAATTGAGTAACCAGGACTGAGGATCCTTCCTGGAGCAAAGACGAGATACAAAGATATACGAAGCAGATGACGTAGAAGATGGTAGCACAAGAACAGCCTTGTTTGAGTTGGAAGTGGAGTGGGGAGGAAGAAGGTCCAACCAATTTGAATACAATGTTCAGGTGGGAAGTGATGAAATCTGAGAGGAAGGGAAGAATGACATGGTGGGTAGTCTTGTGGGTCACAGTAAGGAGATTAGACATAATTGTGTGGGTAACAGGAGGCTTCTGGAAGGATTTTAGTCAAAGCTACATTATAAACAGGTTTGCATTTTTTGTTTGTTTTTGTTTTTAAACACTTCTCAATGTGCATTATAGAATGGCTATCACATCCATTCCCTGAGACGACACGGTTTTGAACGTCCCAACTGGTTATCACTCATAAACCATCTTTACTACATGTGTTTTTAAACACTTCTGTATATGTGTGACAGAATGGCTATTAAATCAGTTCGCTGAAAAATACACTTGGTTAGATTTGCATTTTAAACATCATTTTGGCAGTATATGGAGCTCATACTTTAGAGAGAGGATAGAGAATAGGAGACAACCTGCAATAATTCAAGGGCAATGATTAGAGTTAGAACCAAAGTAATTAAGGTAGATGTGATACAAAGTGCAACAGAAGGGAAAGCAAGATATTCACGAATAAAATCTGTAGAATCCACTGACTGATAGATTTAGGGAGTAAAAAGTTAAGGAAGGGGAAATACAAGCATCTAGCTTGGGTGGTTGGCTGGACAGAACAGGAGGAACTATCGGTATAGTAAGAAGTGGTGTCAGTCCAATGTCTGAAATGTTAAATCTGTGCTATCCATGGGGCATCCAGATGGACTCACCCAGCAGGCAATTGGATAAATGAGTCTAAAGCCCAGGATAATGATCCAGGCTCATGATAAACTATTTAGAAATCACTAACAATCCTGGAAGATAAAATCACAGGAAAGGTATGTATAGAATGAGAAGAATTGTGGCTAAGCTAGCATCTTGGGGACAACATGTAAGAGATGCTTAGAGGAAGAGAACATATGAATGGCAAGGAAATGGTGTTGGATGTAGAACACAACCCGGGAAGATGGGCCATTATTGAAGCCAAGAGAATTGAAGATATAAATGAAAGTAATCAAAGAGTTGTCAAATGTCTTAAAAATGTTTTCTAAATTTGCCAACTAGAAGGCACTAGGTGAGCTTAGCAAAAGCAGTTTTAGCAGAGTGGTGGGCTGAATTGATGAATTCAGAGTGGGTGGCAGAATGAATGGAAGATGAGACAGTAAAGACTGTGAGTCTAACAAGCTCTTTAAGAAGTTTCCTTGAAGTTGAGCACAGGTTCCAATGAGAAAACTCTTTCCCAATGATATTAACCTGCACACCTCAGAAAAAAAAGGCCCCGTGTGATCTCTGTCCCTGTTACATTTAAATGTTGTAATCTCCAACACACTCCCAAGTTGACAAAAATATACTGAAAGCATTTGAGAAAATTGTTCTTTAATGTTTTAAAGGAATCTGGGAAGGATTCAACTTTTGTTTAACAGAATGTAATTCTGGTTAATACACAGAATCGACAGAGGAACTGAAAATCCGAAGCCACAGCACGGAGCCATTACCAAAGTTGGACAGCAAAGAGAGAGGGCATCACGGGGCGTCTTCCAGAGAGCCTATCAAAGCTCAGGAATGGGATGGAACACCAGGACCGCCTGTGGTCACCAGTAGACTGGGAAGATGCTCTGTGAGCCCCACCTTGTTAGCAGGAAACCACAGCTCAGGTAAGAACGATAATGATCTTTCAGGTGCAATTATCACTTAAAGAAGCATAACCATAGGTAGAGCTCCCTCTACTCATAGAGACAGCATAAGTAGCCCTTCACGCAAAGGGACGAGACAACATGTTGCACCACTCCAGGGAACATTATCCACATGGGCGGTAGAGAGGTGAATAGTGCTTCTTGGAGCGGTGCAATGAAGCAGCTCTGACAGCTCGAAACATCTTGTACTAAATTGTATCCAAAGCATCTAGAGGCCTCATCGAAACAAGTTTTAATTTATAAAGTTTAAGTGACTTAGAGTTTATGCCTCCTGTGCTTCAGAAAAGATTTTAGGCAACTGGGAAAAAATGAAGGTGAGAATATATAGGTAAAAAAACTGTCTGAAGGCAGTAAAGAGAGTAGATATCATGAGGTATGTACAGTAATGATCTGAATGCTGTAGCTGGACCATGGACATGGTACTAAGTTTCCAGATCTAAGTCAGAAGAGTTAGAACATTTTAATCGAATACACCTTTAGATTTCACAAGTTGAAATTAAGATCTGCAATGCAATTTTGCATCGTTAATAGATAAATATTATGAAACATCAAGTTTTTAAAAGCAGCATATGTTTGCTTTGAAGTGATTAATCTACATGATGGACTCACAGAGAGCTGTCAATTGGAAGAAAAAACAAATAATCAAGTGACCTCCTGTAGTTTCAGGTTTCTATCCCTTAAGAATGTTAGGGTTCTGAAGGAAAGACCAATCCTTTAATGTTCTTTTCAACTCTGATACTCATCTTGGAAAGCAATTTACATGCATTTAGCCTGTGGACTCTCTGGCAGTCATGCACAAGTTAAAATTGGAACAGGATGAATGATCTTTGTATTTGGGAAGGGATGTTTCTAGAATAGGACCCAGGCAGAGACAGAGCAGTAGCTTTTCCAGACTTAAAATGTAACTTATTTCGTGATGAAGCCATAGAAATCTTGGAGAAGAGACAAATGAATTTAGCAGAAAGTAAAAATTTATTTTTGTTAGTAAAGTATAAACAGCTATAGGTATATGAGAAGACTTGTGCATTTTGTCAAAAAGAAAAAGAAACATAGGAAACAAATGATATTTTGTAGGAAAAAAACTCCTCTCCCAAAGAAGGTTGACATCACGATTCAGTTGGGACTTAGGATTAATTTTAGGCTTATTAGTAGTATTTTTTAATTATTTAAATTTGTACCAGTTTGATCAAAAAATATAAATAATATGTACTCCTATTGTGACTAGAGATATAAAACCAAAAGCATTACCTGAATATCTTTAGGTAACAGCCACTGTTCTAGTGTCTGAGAGCACAGTGATGAGTAAGACATCCTTGCATTCGGGTGCTCAAAGTCAAGTGAAAGACAGACAAACATCACAATACAAGGTGTTATATTCAACTAATATGTGAAACAAAAAATAAATCAATTAATTTTTCCTGGGAGTGTATGATTTTGGCAAGAACAATCGGGGTTTTAGTGGGTAAAATAATAACTGCTTTAGGATGTTAACATTTGTGCTAGAGCTTGAAACATCAAGAGCTGTTCCCCAGGAGGATGATGGAGAAGTCTGCCTTCCAGATGAACACCTAAAATGCTATGGGATTGGGGCGCCTGGGTGGCTCAGTCGGTTAAGCGACTGCCTTCGGCTCAGGTCATGATCCTGGAGTCCTGGGATCGAGTCCCGCATCGGGCTC